CAACAACTTGGTCTCTGCAGACCTACTTGTTGAAGTCTGTTTCAACAGGCAGAGTATTGCTTATCGTAACAGCTGTGGAAAATGAGAATATGCTTTCTCTGGTCCTTTGCTTCTCAAAGCTTTTTGATTGTCACTCTCTAGCATTCATCTGCATTGTATGTGCCGTATCAAAGGGAACGCAGCCACTGGAGCAGTGGCTTTGCTATGAGGATTGCATTTCAAAGCAGAACCATTTCCCAGATCTACTTCAAAGCAGCCAGCCATTGTGCCTTTGCATTTCTTCCATGTTCTTCGGAGGACAGCCCAATGCTACCAGCAGCATTGGAAAACACATTAAAGCCTGGGTTGATCCCATGTCAAAGAGCGCTTTGTGCCATCTTAAATCTTGTGCCTCTCCCCTGAGAAGTAAATGGGTATTTGTGAGACTGCAGACTGTATAAAGCAAAGCACACACTGACTAGACATGAGCTGAACAAAGCAGGATCAGCCTGTCTCACAGGAAATACTGCCAATGGCTGCTGTGAAACCACATAGCTCATCTCTCCTAACTATTTCGTTTCTACTTATTGGTCAATGTGCTTTGATTATGCGTTCTTAAAAATATTTCAACATTTCTCCCTTTCTGCCCTGCTACGTGTTCCAGTCTCACTAACACATGCAACTGGCCTTATTGAGATGAACCTGGAGCTAGAGGTCCTGTGAGGAAAGATCTCCCCAAAGGTGACCAGGGAGGCACAGTGCTGCAGCAGGAGCTTGAGCTGACAGTCAGTGCTAATGCTGGTTGCTGTTGCCCCCTCTTTGAAAAAAAAAAAAAAAAAATGGACATGGCTAATGGTTGGACCAGAACCATAAAGTCACAATTAAGAAATTAGTATTTCTTAAATTATATGGACTACGCTTTTAAAAATAGTAGTGATAGGTCTCCTTTAAAGTAAAAAAAAAAAAAAAATCAAGCTAATAAACTAGGTTTGTATTAAAAAAAAAAAAAAAACAAAACCTGTTGTAAATAATAAAATACTAAAACAGGCAGTATGCCAATACTGTAAACAAATTAATACTAGTATTTTCTCCTTACCATATATAATAAGAAGTGATTATGTGGTCTCCCAGGGCATGTTCTTTGTGCTGGTTCTCTAAAAAACCTTTGCTGCTTGCATTAAAACTAGAAATCCAGCAACTTGCTAGATAGGCGAACCTGAGAAGAAGGAAAAACTAAATAAAGGTGGAGATGCTAGAAAGTCAATGAGAGTGAAGCCTACCCACATGCTCAGGTCTGCTCACTCAGCTCCAAAACCAGCACCTAGGCCCAACAAAAAATGATGGCAGGACTCTGAGGAAAGGCCCCCCATGGCCATGAAGCCTGTGGTCCTGGCTGATCTCACAGCAAGTTAAAAATGGGTGCTTGAAGATAAACTTGTGTTTAAATACTCTTGAATGCATTTACACCACAAGTCTGCATGCCTTATGTTATTGCCCTGTGACTACAGCAGTAATGCACCAGTGCTGTCTGGTGCATGGGGAACTGGATGGGGCTGAGACTCATGTCAGCCTGCCCCCATGGAGCCTGACAAACACAAGCTGCAAAAAGTGAAAAAAAAAAAAAAAAAAAAAAAAAGAGTGAATTAGCAAGTGAAATAAGGTATTTAGAGAAGAAATAAGATTTGCAGAGAGAAATTTTACTACTAATTCGTTTCCTTGCTAGTGTCTTGAAACTGTTTTTTTCATCATTTTTTACATCCAGAAGAAACAAGGTACTCTGAAATAAAATTAAAAACAGTACAAACCTGGTACTATACATGATTTTTTTTCTCATAACAAGTCCGTCTTATCCTTCTTCATCCCTTTTCTCTCTCAATAGTTCTCTAAAATGGACTCTATTGTCATTTAAAAAAAAAAAATCAATTAACATTTGAGCTAGATTTACTTTGTATAAGGATTTGCCTGTTCCCCTCTGAGGCAGCAAAAAGTTATAATAAAACCAGCAGGAATTAATTCACACCTGCATAAATACCCTACAGTACCAGGGTGTGCCTAAATAAAAGAAGAGACAAACTCAGCTGAAGTCTGAAGTGACTCTGCAAAACCAGCTTCATTTGCCAGTTTGCTCCTGGGCAGTCAGCAGAGAAGGCTTCTCCACAGGCAGATGCTGTGGGGGTCCAGACCCCACATGGGCATCCTGTGGATGTGGCCATGGAGTATTTCTGGCAGTGCAAAGATGCAGGAATCAGGCTTGAAAGGTGTCCCTCAACATCCTTCCCAACTCGAGAGTCTTCTTGTAAGTCTCAAGAAAAAGCAGGGAGGGAGATAACAAGTGTCTGTGGTGTCTCCAGCTTCAGGGAGAAAAGCTGAGGAATAATCATCCCATGAGCTCCAATGTCACACCTTCGTATCTTCTTCTGGCTTAACATTCACGTGTGCAGGAGATGCATCACTAGCAGTCCCCCAGGTCCTTCTGCCTCATGGTGAACAGTCCCTTCACCCCGTACACGCTCAAGTGCATAGTGACCATCCTCTGTTGTCACCTCGCATAGTCTTAAATATTTGGATGCAGTGAGCACACTTGGCCCAGCAATATGCAAAATACTGAATAAGAAGGAATACTGAGTAAGATAATACTGACAATAAGAAACATTTGAATGAGTCTCAGTGTTTTCTGACCTTCCTTAACAATTTCATGAGTACTCAAGTAACTTACCAGAAAAAAAAGAGACATGCATATACCCACATGTCTATATATAGGTAGGTTCAGTGATGAATGAAATGGAAGTGCTGCTTGTTTTCCATAGCCAAGCAATTAATTCAGATCCCTGCAATTCTCTTATGAAATTACTTCTCAAGTGAATTGTTAATTTTTAATCCTCATTCATCACTTAACTTGGTTTTGAGAGAGCATTTATGAGATTATTTCTTAAAGGAAATTTTTTCATTTCACTTGTTAAGGTGTTTTTGTAGCATGCTGTATAGCTAAGTATGATGCCTCATTTAACTCACATTAATATAAATTCTACTCTTAAAAGTTATACCACAGTCCTCTTTTTAAGAAAGTATAGTTAGGTATCAGACAAGTTTTTTGCTGGAGATAGATAGACGTCTTTTAAATGAACTGACACAAAGGCCAAATACAATCTTTTTACTTAAGCTCTGGCAGAAATTAAGTTATTTGCATATTATGATGCACAGGAAGAATTTGGGAGGAACACACTGAAATTCAGCCCACCGGGTCACAGTGGGTTACTAACCTCAGAAGCAGCCATTTCTGGACACCATGCCGAATTGTGCTGTGAGTTATACAGGTTTAGCAGCACAGGTGGGAACCTCCTCTGCTTGCCTGTCATGCTTGACCACCCATGCAGAACAGTCACTCATGGACCCCAAGGAAGAAAACAGCCACTTTTCCTCTCTGAAACTGTTTTTTCTTTCTTTTTTCTCCAAGGTGAAAGTTTTCTGTCTACCTTGGGCATTTTCTCTCCATCTCCTTCTCATAAATTTAAGGATAAGTCTGTGTTGTTTTTTTGGTTTTTTTCTTTTTTCCCTCCTTCCTACATCAGTTATAGTGCATGGAGGAGCAGAGAATACTGCTGCTGTAGTTGTTTCCAGGTCTGAGAAAAGAGTAGGAAATCCAGTAACTGCATCAAACCTGAGCTGATATGAGTGTGATGGAGCAAAAGAGAAGCAGAATTTAATAAACAGGCAGGAAAAGATAAATTTTTGAGTGAAACATTTCTCCCTTACAAATATCTTCTGGGAGATAGGAGGCACGAGGAATAAAAGGGTTAAGAACAAGGACTAAGCTTGTCAAACCAGGCAGGCTAGCTAAAACAAATGGATCCTTTCATGCTAAGTTGAATTTGCCCAGTGCAATGTTTATAGTTGGGCAATACACAAAAAGCCTTATTATTTTGCCAAGGAGCTAGAAATATCCTTCAGGCCAAGTCAAAGCTGCTTCTTTCTAATTTGAGACTCCAGTGCAAACTGAAGTTCTCTCTCACACGGATGGTTTGTTTTTCTGAACCTCAAAATAAGCTTTCAGAAAGTTGTTACTAAGTAAGATCTGAGCCAAAGAGCACACACCATCTCAGTCTTCCCAGTGGCAAGCATCTCAGGAAGCGCCAGTCAGCTCTGTATTCACTTGCTGACCCAACGCCAAGAATATTCTTCAGCCCAAGCCCTTTTCAACTGCTTCCTCAGTCACTCTTCTGTCTCTACAGTGTTGGTTTTACTCAGCTTCAAGCAATAAACAAACCTGTCATTTACGCCTCTGAATGACATACTCGAGGATGGCAGTCAAATCGGAAAGCTGAGAAAATTCAGCAGAATACTGCCATTGGTTTCAGTACTTCTACTTTCCCAGGAGTGTCAGCCCTTCTCTCTCCCGAAGTGTACACATGCCTGTACTGACTGTGTGGCTGCTCTAACCGCTCCCGCACAGCCCGCGGGACACTCGCCGTGAGCACAGCCTCCCGCGCTTGCAGGTGCACACACAGCAGCCACCAGAAGCTGGAGCATCCTGAAAGCAGCAGCGTTGACAAATGTACAACACCAAGTTTCCAAAGAGATGCAGATCTAAGCCGTGGCACCATTTTTCAGAACGGCAGAGCAAGGCAGATCCATCCAAACTAACTTAGGCCTCTTGGCTGGGCTCCTGAGGTTGGAGAGCTAAGCACCAGCTGCTTCCTTCATTAAGGAATGGGTAGGTTCCCCTGAAAACGCCCAAGAGACAAGTTCCTTCTGGATACACATTTTCCTCCCCTGCCTGGAGAGGGAGCCTCAGGCAGCCACGCTCCTAATATGAGCAACTTAAGTAAAAGCCTGGCAGGGCAGTTAGTCCAAACGAGACTCTTCAGTCCTCCTAAAATTAGAGGTACTGGTATATGGGCAGACTTGAGAACCAAAAGCAGTGTTTTGTCCCCACAAGCCCCTTCTTGTCATCTACTGTAAGAAATACTATTTTAACAGGGGTAGTTCAGAGCTGGGATGTAATAATGTGAATGACCAAGCTCCTGTAGTTTCAGATTTTATTAAAAAAAAAAAAGACATCACATTTACATTTCAGAATATTTTAAACAAGGCCTTTCTGTTAAAGCTTTAGATATCTAAAAAGTGTCTAGATGATTCACACCTGCATGGAGCTTTGCAAATCACACAGTAGTCACCAAACAGCTATATTGCACAAAGATCCACACAACACCACACCATTCTTAGCTTAATCTACATTGTAAAGTGCTGTTTTGTAGGAAGAAACTTGTTCTGGAAAAATAAGTATCTGGATAGGCAAGTACTGCTGAACTGCATTTCTGAAAGGTGACACTTCCATTGTAGTGGAAAAAATCTGACAGTGTATTGTCAGTGCCTCTCACAGTGTGGTTTTTTATTTAATAAGCTGGAGTAAGCACCATAGTGTACTGTAATGAATGCATCCCAAGTATTCAAGTAACACCAAACGCCAAATCAAGTTTTAAACACAGAACGAGATAAATACAAACAGACATATCAAATGGTAGATAAATGTTTAAAGTAGCATCAGTCTCTGTCCAGTAGAGTAAGTAATTGCATAGGAGAGCACATCTTAAATGAAGGCAAGGTAAAGCTATAGTAGGAAAAAAAACCCTGAATTTTTGATTTCTTACTTCTATATTCTCAAACCAATACAATTTAATCTTTTTTTTTTTTTTTTTAATAAATGCGTCTGAGAGACTGTCCTCATATCTAAGATTAAGTGGTCAGTTTATGAATATTTCCATAAAATAATGAAAGGCCAAAGCCTGGTGATACTGGTCCAGATGCTTATAAAGAATTCAAATATGGAACTGTGGAGTGCTAACCGTAACATAAAACCTCTAACTTAGACCACTTTCTGAAACAGAGGAATCAAAAATTATACATTTGTGTGTGGAAGGGGATTTGGTCTGGGAACAACAAACCAGAAAGTTCAACCCTATAATCTATCGCTTTAAGCTGATACTAGGTTTGGTAAATGAATGGACAAATGGTGATTACTCAACAGGAGAAGTCACAGCTGCTGAAGACAGAATCCTGTCTCCTGGGTCTATTTGACTACTGGGCTCACACACACACAAGAACATGAGCCATCTACTCAGAGTGTACTAACAGGTAAAAGTTTTCAATGCCTGACTAGCAAATCATGGTTTATTAAATGAGGGGGGGGAAAAAAAAAAGTGAAAAGAACAATAAATCTTAACAGCAGAAAGAGATTTGCTGTCTCTCTGCAACTTAAGTTGCTGTAAGATCTGGAAAAGCAAACAAACAAAAAACACCATGTTTATGTTACCTATGAAGCTATGTAGGAACATCCCAGTCTAGAAGTGACTGAAGAGCTGCAGGAGGCCCTCAGGACTAACTGACTACATAAACAAACAGATGAAACTCAACAAATGCAAAATAACACACAAGGTGGGGAAACCCTGCACATGCACAGCTTGTTTACAACTAACCATCAGGATTGTGTGGAAAACACTGCAGAAGAAGCTTTATAAATATCAGCTTAATATTCGGTATCAATCAAAAAGGCAGATATGGTGTTAGGACTATGGAAAGAAGGAAACCCCAAAATTCTGTCATCCTTCATAGCAACACAGTATCTGTACAGAGGGCTCCTTCAGTCAGCCTCAGAAGGAGAGAGGAGAAAGAGGGGCAGCAGGTTGCTTACCAGTACAGAATGGCTTTCACCTAGCAAGAGGAAACATGAAGGGGAGTGCATAATGGGAAAGAAATGCAATGATAAGCATCTATTACAAAAACAAATTACCTAAATGATAACTAGCAAGGGACAATTTGCCACTTTTCCTGCAGGAGAAAGTTCTAGACGATACCGACTGCTTCACACCTGCTGCCTGGAACATCAAAGTGTTTCTCACACAAGCAGACAATGAAGCTGTGGAATATACTTCCACACAGCCTTACTAAGGCAGAAACATTTTCAGGTGAGACCCACACAAGAAGTTGCCCCTGATGGGCCTTGCTAGCCCCAAAAGGGCTGTCATGCTCACCATGGCACAGATGGCATTTCTGCCAATTACCATTTCTGCCACTTTCTTCTGACAGCGGCCACCGGACAGAGGCTTAGGAGAGAGGACACTGGGAGGGGTGGACTCCAGGTCAGATCAGTACAACAGTTCAGACAGCAAAGCTCACAAAGGTTTTGCATTATGACCTACATTCATTTAAGTGTATTGTGATTTTCAGGTCCCATTTCATAGATCTACAGTTGTATACATGTATTTAGTAAGCATAATTCACACACACTCATCAAGATGCAACACTATCCCCAAATTAGAAAGCATATCCCCAAATTAGAAAGCACCAAGTATGTATTAGAAACATCCTTCACTTTAGATCCTTATTTTTCCACAACACAAGTTAACAGTGCAAGTACCCAAACATATTTTTACGTAGATTTCTATAAACAGATGCAGTCCACCTCCGTGCCCAGTAAGATCATGCAGTAGATCCACCTGGAAGGTATGTCGAAACATATGGAAGACAGGGAGGTGATCAGAGGCAGCCAACATGGGTTCACCAAGGGCAAACCATGCCCGACTCATCCAGTGGCCTTCTGTGATGGAGTGACTACATCAGTGGACATGGGAAGAGCTACAGATGTCACATACCTGGACTTCTGTAAGGCTTTTGATACAATCCCCAACAACATTCTTACCTCTAAATTTGAGAGATATGGGTTTGACGGATGGACTGTTCAATGGGTAAGGAATTGGCTGGATGGCCATGTCCAAAGAGTTACAGTCAACAGCTCAACATCCAAGTGGAAACCAGTAACGAGTGGTGTCCCTCAAGGGTCTGTACCGTCACTAATATTATTAGTATCATCAGTAACAGCATAGACAATGTGCTCCCTCAGCAAGTTTGCAGCTGACACCAAGCTGAGCAGTTTATTCGCTTGAGGGAAAGGATGCCATCCAGAAGAACCTTGACAGGCTTGAGGCGTGGGCCCATGTGAACATCATGAGGTTCAACAAGGCCAAGCACCAGGTCCTGCACCTGGGTCCAGGCAACTCCCATTACCAATACAGACTGGTGGATGGAGAGCAGCCCTTCAGAGAAGGACCTGGAGATCCTGCTGGATGAAAAATTGGACATGAACGAGCAATGTGCACTTGCAGCCCAGGAATCCAAACATATCCTGGACTGCTCAGTGGCCAGCAGGGCAAGGGAGGTGATTCTTCTACACTGCTCTCTCAAGACCCCACCTGGAGTATTGCATCCAGCTCTGGGTCCCTCAGCATAGAGCGGGTCTAGAGGGCCACAAAAATGATCAGAGTGCTGGAACACCTCTGCTATGAAGAAAGGCTGAGAGTTGGGGTTGCTCAGCCTGGAGAAGGCCCCAAGGAGACTTCATTGCAGCCATTCAACATATAAAGACGGCTTAAAAGAAAGATGGAGAGAGAATTTTTACTAAGGCCTGTAGAGACAGGACAAGAGGCAATGGTTTTAAACTGAAAGTGGGTAGATTTAGATTAAATATAAAGAAGAAACTTCTAACAATCAGGGTGGTGAGACCCTGCAACAGGTTGACCAGAGAAGTTGTGGATGTCCCGCCCCTGGAAGTGTTCAAGGTCAGGCCGGAGGGAGCTCTGAACAACTGGATCTAGTGAATGATGTCGCTGCCCATGGTAGGGGTGTTGGACTAGATGATCTTAAAGGTTGCTTCCAACCCAAACCATTCTGTGGTTCTACAATTCTATGAAAAACTACTATGTGATACAGTTTTTAACATGAGAGGAACATAAATTTGAGGTGAGACATCCTTTAAGGCAGAAATTGGGTCTCAAAACTTAATCAGTGCATTTTTAACATTCTTACTAAAAAAAACCAAGCTACTACTAGATCAAAAAATTAACTTACAGAAATAAGTATTAATAGAAATACCTGATTTTTTGCCTAAATAACAGGTACTATTACTCACACATGCAAACACTTCTGATTTTGGACTCTAAAATCTGATGTTTAAGGTAGAATTGCACTTTATATATTTTATATAGCCTATAGTAAAAGCCTGGAAAAGTAAAGAAACTTACCATTATGCCACCAACTATATAACACCAGGTGTCAGAATTAGTTTTAGCTTACAGTCACATTAAAGGTATATGACATGCAATCAAATTCTAGTTTACCCTCCTCTTTCCAAATATAACCTAAACATTCAGCTGCAGTTCTGTTTTCTCCCTGCTTTATATTGTATTCTTGCAGATGTTATTTCATGCCAAAAGGCCCAAGCCCTGATGCTCAGGGTTTAACTGGAAAACATCTGATCCCTCAGAGGCATTCAGGCAGATTTCTTAAAAGGAGAATGGCAATCACACGCTGTCAGCTTTGACTTCATTAATTGCAAAACTGACTATGTACGGATTTAAATTACAGAAAAGGCAGATTTCTACCCTGAAGAGTAATTTTGGTTGCTAGTCAAACTTCTTCCCTGCTTCACCCTGGGAAGGAAGTCTGTGGAGGACAGCATTGCACAGATCACAAGAAAGGCAGGAGAGTTCCTGGAAAAACACTTCCCACTGGTGCAGGAAGTGTCTGGACCGTTTGTTTAAAAAAAGCACGGCCTAGAGGCTTGTAAGCAACACGTAGGTAGAAAGTAACTAATCAGGACTGGAAACTAAGGTAGAATCCTTCTGCTTTCGTCTTCCATTTCAGAACAGCAGTGGGAAGAGATTACAGCACTAGATGTCATCATGGTACTCCCCGTACTTTGCTGTGACACCTTCCTCAAGGTGAACTGCTGCGCCACCCATTAAGGCAAACGCTGGGTACATTATGCCAGAGCAGTCCACCTCACATTCATAAAGGCATTTCATACGGCCTGCGTCGTAAAACCCCACCTTTCCTTTGTCACAGTCGAGGCAGATGCCCAAGCACGATGGCAGGGGAAGGATTCTGCTCGCCGGATCCTTAGGGCCAGCAGGTGTCATGGGGATAAAGAACTTCTTCATGCCTAAAGTGACCAGTGTGAAAGGCTGTGATGAGTCAAAGAAGGCATCTTCACTCCCACTGTCATGACCACTGTCTTGCTCGTATCTAGAACAGAAAAACAACCATTTGCTTTTGTCAAATAAAGAACTGGGATCAGTGACGTGAACAGAAGAAAACATTTTTGTAAGATAGGCAACACCACACAATCACCTGCAAAACCTTGTGGGGTAAAAATATACCTAAGGCAGGAGGGAAGATGCATTTAGTAGGTGGAGAACACTCATCTGGGCCACTTCAAACAATTAACAGCTAAACACAAATGAGGGTGAGACCACATGGGGCTCTACTAAGGAGCAGATGTATGTATCTAAATGTACTCATGCTGGGCAATCATTAATGAACCTACAGGTACAGTAACTTAGTTAACTTGAGAAGTAATTTAGTGAATATGCCTAACAACTACAGACAAGTTATGTTTAACTTTATTTACGTTACGTTAAATGCCACCAGTAAATACATTTAACATTACTCTTGTCCTATGAGTTTTCCATGCCACTACTCTATTACATTGTCTTTAAAATTCACAACAGAAAATGAATTCGTTTAAGTTTTTGTTTTGTTTTTTTCTTTTCAAAAGTGCTCTGCCTGAAAGCTTTCCTGGACCTCTGTTTTCCGTCTCGTTACTGGGGAAAGTTTGTAGGCAGATTTGCTCAGTCTGCTTGCTTTTACTCCTACTTCTGTCCTCAGATGAAGACAGACTAGAGAAGCACATTCTCCTATGCTGACAATCCCTAGCTATGTTTGCGGTTTTGGGGTGTTTGCAGGGAGGTTGCATGTGTGTCAGCTGAAGTTCTTCAGGTATTTGTGTGGACAAATAAAAGAAATCAGGAAATCAGGACCTAATTTCTCACTTTGCAAAAAAGCTCCATCTGATTTTAAGCAGCTCAAGATATTGGCATTTTTACACTTACTGGATATTATACAGGAGGGAGCCACTAAATTTGTTAGATTCCTGAAAAAGTTAAGAATCCCCAGGAGGTAGCCTCCCAGCCTGCAGTTCCTAGACACATCCAGGCTTATTACAACTGTAATTGAGCTGGAAATCTTTTTGCTGATTTGCCCACTGTACTTTGGCTTGCGTTCAGTAGCACTCCAGTACCATATGCAAGGTTATAGCCTGGGGTAAACCAGTGACTTGGAATCTACCATGAGGAAAGCTACAACACAGATACACAGATACGCATAGTGAACGTTGTACTTCTGAATGGCTACCAAACCCAGTATGCTAAGGCAGAGTCTTACTATTGACAATAAAGCATTGCTTCAATCTTGCAACTAATGCTTTTTTTTTACCTTCTTGCTTTAACTGACTTATCTTGACATCTACAGGAACCTGATTTCTTTCCCCAAAAAGAAAGAAAATAGGACTTTGGATAGTTAGAAGATCTTTCTACTAATACTAGAGGATGAATAGGACAACCTTCCTTCACCATATCCTTCAAGCCACTCGTCACTGATCAGGTTCACCATGCGTACTAACAGACCAGACTGGCTTTTAATTTATTTTTTTAAGAAGTCATCTCCTTATATAAAACATGCATTAAGCAAGAGTCTGCAGTGTACCTTGGGCTGGTCGCATCATGGGTATTATGGAACAATTTCTGTATCTTGTTGCTAGAAACAACTCCCACTTTCACCAGGTATGAATAGGTTTCCACATGAAAAGCCCAGAAGTGTCTCCCTTTGGCAATCCCAGTGTCACCAATGATGTAATCCAGGGTTGTGTAGCATCCAACCTGCATGCGCTCAGATGCCAGTAGTAGAGGAAATCCAGCCCTGCTTTCCACAGAGGTTCTTCTTGTGTTCAGCAGGAGACGTTCACTGTTGTACCCACATTTGTCATCAAAAAGAAAACTGAAAACTGAAAAACAGTATCCAAAAAAATTTCCTATTAGTTAAGTATTTGGCTTTCTGTGCTTATAAACTGCATTTGAAGTCACACTCGCATTAGAATTTCTCACTTTTAAAGGCTACCAGTAATGTCATGAAAGCCAACAGTCTCAGTATGCTACCTACTTAACCTGTTTGTTAACAGTGCTTCTAAACATTTATGGAAGTGGTAACAGTATAGTAAAAGTCTGGGAACTACTGGAAACCACATATAGCTCTTAACACCAACAGACACAAGATTCTGCGCCTTGTAGACATAAGAAAACCCAATACCTGGAGCTGGAGGTGTACGCAAAATAACTTCTCGGCTCCAAGGGCTACAGATGGACCCTTTATATCCTCGAACTCTAAAGGCATAGCTGCTGTCGTCATCAAGATCAGATATCACTTTGCTCTTGCTGCAAACTTTGACCTCCTGCCACGTCGCACTCTCCTCTTCTCTATTAAGCTTACGATATTCAAGAACATAGATATCAGCTGAATCTGTCTTCCCAGGGCATTCCCAACTGATCAGAGCTTTGTTGTACATTCTGCTGTGCTCTTCATTGATTTGTGGTATTTCTAGACCTGAAATGCCAGAGATGCAGAAGAAAAAATTCTGAAATCTAGATACACGTTGTTTTAGAATTAACCATACAAGCCCTTTGTTGAGTGGCTATACCACTGTGTGTTTGGGGGGGAAATCTGACTCACTCAGTTAAAGACTGCAGATAAAGGTGCTTCTGCTCATGCAATTGAATAAATCCCTTACTTTCTGCTTTTACTTTGAAAGTTGTATTATTTGTTTTTGCTGGCAGCTAAAAAACATATAAAAACCTATTATTTTCTGTCATGCAACAAAAAACTTCTAGGAAGACCTAGTATTACTTAACTACAGTATTTTGGAAGCCAGTGTACACTGCTACTGAATGCAATCAGGCATTTTAACCTCTTTATCAAAGCTGAAACTAGTATTGCTGCCAGATAATGCCTTGTGGGTCACGGAGACAGAAGGGACAATGCAAGTCACAGCCCTGATTAAGTTTTGCTTCTTTCCACAGAAGCCCTCAAAACCATAACTCGAGAAAGATCCGGTGCTCTCACAATTTACCATTGGAACGGAAGGACAAGTCACCAAGGATCTCTTCTTGCTTGTCTGTGTCCACCACAAAGTCTTCAAAAGTAGTTTCAGCTGCTGGCCTGAAGCTCTTCAGAGATTCAGTGGCTTTTTGGATTCTGAAAGCAGTGTAGCACAGGGATGGCAGAAGACAGAAAAGGAAATTCACATGTGTGCATTCCTTGAAGTAAAAATGCTAGCTTTTGCTATTAAAAAAATTCTGGTTTCATGTATACACTGATGTCTCCCAGAAATCTGTCTCTCTAGACAGAATTCAAATGCAAAATTTAAAAGCCTTTTGTACATCAGTGTAAAGATAACAGGTAATCATTCATTTGGCTGAGCATTTTAACTATTTGGGGCATTACGTTCAAAGAACAAAATAGGTGTGAAGCGCTGATGGAGAACAACTACTAAGATCAAAGAGTTTAAGGCCAAAAGAGACCTGTTAGATTAACTTGCAAATACCTGATACAATCTCTGAGCAAAGGATTGTGTCAGTGAGCTGAGTGGACTACCCTTTCACTGCAGTCCTACTGAACAAGGCTTGGCGTTGTCCCAGGACAGAGCCCCTCCAGCGTGCTGTTTCTTAATGCACACTGTAATATAGTAATTTCTACTGAATGGTACCAGGACCATCTCCTGAACCTCTACAATGGAAGGTACTGTGTTCAGTACTTTGCTAGAAGATGTCTAAAGAATATGACTGACCAGACGTCCTGAACAGTACCTGTACCTCAGACTGAAGATAATTAAGATACCTGACATGAAGTTGTTTTGCTGTTTGAACAAAACAAGATGGATCAGTTTCTTTGAGCACTTCTTGAGCATATCCTACAAGGCCATTATTTTCCAGGAGCCCTTGATATTCTTCTGCTTGCATCTGCAATTTTTCCAGCCTTAAATTCTTAGAAGCTTCAATTGCCCTAAGAGCTGCAGATTTCTTCTCTTCCAGGACATGAGATAATTTCTCAAAACTCTGAAATGCTTCTTCTTTAGCTCTTTCACTGTTGCACTAGGAGGTAACAAAACACATTTTAGACAGATTCCACAGCACTGTGGCTGTGTACAGAAACATATTTCAGGTTGTTCCAGATATCATAGCAATCTAGTCATCCATTTCACAGACAAGACTAATGAGCTTTGACACACTTTTCAGCACTGAAAATGTGATCAGCACTGCTAGTAAGCATTTACTACTTAACACAGAGAACAAAAAGCAGGAAAGTACTCCTCTGATTATATCTTGAGTTATGCATGGCATTTGTCTAAACTGCTCATGGAAAAGCACTGTAAAAGCAGGTCAGTCTCTGAAGTCTTCATGACCAAGAGCTAGGTGCTCTTCCGTCTTCCCCAATCACCCTGAACTGGGGGTCCAGCCCAGTTCCTCACATATGCCCTCAGACCTGTAGTGCCACCTTGACTAGTGCCCTGAATAAAAGGAACTACAAAGCACAGAGACAATCTGTATTAAGATACAGGCAGGGACAAAAGCTCCTGCAATTTCTGCCATCATGTTTTTCAGCCTGGATGTGAGGGCATAGCTCTCTGACTCTTCTGCAGGGAGATTTTGCCCTTAATTCTGACTGTACTGCAATATCCTCAAGGTAGACAGCGTGAACCGTGCAACACCATTAATACACAAAAGCTATGAGTCTAACCCATCCCTCTTTGGTTAATGTATCAAATAAGCTTTATTTCAATTAAATTTACAGCAGCACCCAGAACTTAACTTCTCTCTGTGTGTTGCTCAAATTTCCCACACTGTCACGATTAGGTCTTACTGTGTGTGAGTCAGGACTAATACAAACTGTTCAGAAATTTTGTCGGTTAACTAAAAAAACCCAAAGGATCTCAAACACTTCACTGAAAACAGTTCGAGTCCCTGCTGTGTCCCCACAAGGGCCAACCCCAGATAATCCACAAGTCACTCTTACCTCTGTTTCTTTCTGCAACAGATCCAGCTGGGTAATGTGAGCCTTCACCTGGCTCTCCTTACTGATGAGGTACTCAATATCTTTTGAAAGCTTCTCCTGTTAAAATAAAACGACAAACTGGCAGAATAAAGGTATCTCACCCAAACTGACAACCACCACAGGCAGGTCATCCAGCTAGCACTCGGTCTATCTAGTTACAAGGACAACAGCCTGTTACAGGCAGCAACACCATGGAGAATTGCTAGGTGACCTACGATGGCTCCACAGGGACATCAGGCCACTGCTGTGAGCAGGATTCTATGGACAGGAGGTAACAGCCCCAGTGGGCTCATTCTTTCCCAGCCACAGGAGTCACCCTCTCTCTTAGGCTAGGAACATGAGGCTTCAGGATGTTACTAAAACTTACAGAAAAGCCTTGTTAGATATTAAGTCATTTGTAGTAAGATTTGCTAGAAAAATGAGTGCTTCAAAGTAGGAACTTATGAGTGTGTCTGCACTTCCTTAGTTACAAGAGTTAACAGCTATACAGGAAAAGCCTTGCAAACAGTCGAGGGAGGAGGCCAAAGAGCACAAGGCAGTCTGGTCTGGTCTTTTTTTTTTTTTTTTTCCCCCTGTGAGCAAGAGAGATAAAAAAGAAAGGGGGTAGCAGTAATCATTCTTTAGTAACAAAGCAATGTTTGCAAGTTTTCCCTGTTGTACTGTGCTTAGGTAATTAACAGCTGTGCAACTTCAGAAACATATAAGGTCCATACTTCAGACACCAATTTTTCAGGAGTGCTTCTAAAGTATCAGCTAACTCTAAAGTATCAGCTAACCCAAGCCACAAGGACACTTACCTTAAAAAAGCTAGATTGTAAACTATTAACTGTTTAAACCTTCTGCATTGGTCAGTACTGGTGTACATTTGGCTAAAATAAGGTGGAAGCACTTTTAAGGGGTTATGTTTCACGCCTCATAGAAAATAGTTTAGTTTCTCAGACATGCACTATGTCACACTAATAAATACAACAGATGTTGCACAACAGCATGACTCATGACTAGTTCAGTGTCCTCTAAACACACATCCTGGCTTCCTGACAGAAGGAGTTTGCCCTCATACCAGAAGCTCAGTACTCTTCCCTTTCTTAAGGCCAAGTCCAACATTATTTACTTTTACCTTAAGGGTTTTGTAGGCAGTGCTCATGGTTGTTACTCTATGGTTTGCGTGACATCCACCCAGTTTACAAAGGTGACAAACAGGCCTTCTGCAAATTTCACAGTACATGTTTACCCTCTCCATTTCATGTTCTGGACACATCAAAATCTGGAAAAAAAACAAGAGAGAGCAGAGAGAATGTGGGTGTACTTCCAAAAACTAAGGTGCTCAACAAACGATCAAAACACTCAGTCCTCCCACAGCAGCATCTGATCTAATCAGTGAATGTTTTTATATTCAGTTTATCTTCCACATTTTATATGTGTCCATGCCAGTGAAAGCTGGCAGATGAACACAGTTTCACGAGGTTTAGTGTGTAAACCTGTAGCAGTGTCTGTGCACACATCAGGTAGCCTCCATACTCCAATCAACCATTTTGCTAATCCCTGAAGTTGTTTGCATGCTGCCAGACCCCTATACTCCTGTTCAGAGCTGTAAATGCAGTATCTAACACATCCACCCTGTCACATTTAACCATGTCCATTTCAGCATCTTCTGAAACAGTTACGAACTGTTTCTTAAAACAAGAGTTCACATAATACTGTCATGATTTAAATTTAAGATAGACTCTGATCAGCCACATAGCCACTGCTCTTGGAGCAACAAACAAAATGCAGCCACCACCACCAGTCCCAGTCATTTTAAAGGAAAAGGCATCAGTGTTTCAATTCTTCTATATGACTGCAATTACAAGCTGTTCATGCTGAGTGCTAATTCCAATACCAGCCTAAACAGCATCGCAAAAAAAGCTGGTGTTCACTAAAAAAATCACCTTTCAAAAACTGAACATTTTGAAATAACTGCACAAAGAGGGAAAAATGTGCTGCTCAACTGCATGCTCAAGCAACAGATAAAACCACCTAAAAGAGGGTGTGGTTTAAAAAAAACAAAATGCTTTGCCACACTGGAAGACAACATCTGAGTCTGACTACTCCATGTTACCAAAGAAGAGCTCTTGAGAAAGCTTTTCAGTTTCACATCAAGAAGAACAAGACAGCAGTGCCAACAGTCAAGCTTTAAAAGTATCGTCTTTTAACACACACACACAAAAAAAAAAAAAAAAAAAAAAAAAAAAAAAAGGGGAAAAAAAAATGTGAGTAGCATAAATAAGGACAAAAAATTGCAGATTATCTCTGACACCAACTCTCAATCCCTGCATGTTATTTTATGCTATGGTGAAAAGCCCAGAGACACCAGTCTCCCTAGCTCCTAGGTATGTAAGAGTGTCATCAAACAGGACATGCAATAACCTACCCAGCTGTCAGTGATCACTGGGTTTTAAATCAAAAAAAAGAAAGGAAAATTTCTCAGCTGTGCAGGCAGACACCTCTAAAAACTGCAATCATACAGCAGTGCACAGTCACACCTAACAGAAACCACAGTTTTATTCATGTCCTTGTATAAGCAAGAATTACATCCTGCAAACTTGAGACAGAAGAGGTCAGCAAATTACCTTGTCTAGTTCTCTTAAAATTCAAGAACAATCAGCCCAGTATGTGCTTCTCCCATCCCCACCACACACGTTACAAAGTGCTCTCCAGCCTGGCTGTAAATTAAAGTGATGACTGGGAACATTGTTTAGGAGACCAGCAAATACTCCATGCATTCAGTTCAGGTCTTCACAATGCAATGCAATGAAAAATGCACTTTTTTTATATTAAGCTCAAACAGTCACGAGAAAAGTCTCTGTGAGAGCACAGTAAAGATCAGTTTACTGCTGTTGGGTAGTTTTTCTACCAAACAGATGTATCTATAGTTGATTTAACTATACTATGCTTTTGACTTCTTTTGTCTTTTCTTTTTTTGAACAGTACATCTGTCTTCACATATAATTTAAAAAAGCTAAATCACACACACACAAACTTGATACATCAACATCAGAATGACCTAAGCCACTTTTCACCCTTTTGCTCTGCTTCAACAGAATTCAGACTTCTAAACCCAAATTCAGTCTGCATGTAGTATAACAACATATGGTACCTTTAAGAGTACACAAGGATCACGAGATGCCTTTGACATTTTTAAGTAGCAATATTGCAGCAGTAAGGGTTTAGATACAAAGCAACATTTTTAAGGAGCTGTACAGCATTTTAGATTAACAGCTGGAAGACAGCATCCAAACTTTCACCTCACTCGTTTATCCAATAATGGGACATTTCACAAAGATAGCTGTGTGCTACTGCATTTTAAAGCACATCAAGCACATGCTTGTTCTTAACCGGAATGAATGGGTTAGCCTCAAAAACGGCACTAAGGGGACTTCTGAATGTTCACTCTTCAGAAGCTCGATTAATTTTGAGGCTCAAATTTTTCCAGCCTCAGAAAGAAGGTACACCACCAGTCAAGATCTTCTAACAGGCGGCACGTGAATTAAACCTACTTAATTTAATCACTATTAATCAGGACTCCTTGAACATCACCATTTCCATTATCCGTGGGACCTCCAACGAGGTCATTGGCCACAGGCATACATCAAGGGCTGGGACATTAAGACCTACTGTGGTCCCTTGTTAGAGAGATGGCAGCTGTGACAATTCCTTCCATTGTGTAACGTAAATTCAATGAGGCACTGCCTTGTTCTGCACCAAGCCTAGCAGAAGAAACAAAGGTAACAGCACTTTGCAATCATACTGTTTTGTCTGAATGTGGCAGCAGCAGCAGTGTGCAAAGCAGAAAACTTGCCATTACGTTCTTCTCTTCTGCTACAGCTAAAAGAATAGCAGAGTGCAGTAACAATGGAGACCTGAACTCCACCTTTTGCTAAGGCTAGATGAAAGGAAGGAAAGGAAGATGATGCTTTGTGATGTATTAAGTTCAAGCACAAAACACCCAAAGGGAACCTGCCTTGAGGGAGCAGGGTGTAGGCCAGTTGTGTTGGGTTTTTTAAGTTTACTGCACACAGTAAATTAAAAACTGTTAAACCTGATTTTTAGAGGAAAACACTGCCATTCAAGATGTTCAAGATTATTAAGTTTTCAAAAAAAAATTTAAAAAGACCCAAATCACAAATAATAAAATCCATTCCTCAAAGTAAGAAATATGTATTTTCAGGGTCCTCTTCAAATACGTTCTCACTGTCCTCTTCAACGACAACCACGTCAGCATCAACAAGAACAAAAGCTCATGGTTCACTCAATAAATAAGAGCAACAGCTGGTAAAGCAACAACGGTCCTAAAAAGCAACTACTGTTGCACACGTATGTCTGAAACTATATACGAATTCTGCAAGCCAGATTCTTTAAGATACGGTATACTTACCTTGGGTCTGAAGTTGGTGGTTGGTCCTACATATTCATGCTGGGCTTTTGCAGTTCCCCAAGGGTGGTGTATTTTGAAACACTCATTGCAATAGCTTGCGCTGCAGTCCATGCAGCTTTTTGTGGACTCTTGAGGTGGAGGTTTGCAGAAATCGCACATAATAGCAATGGCTGCCCTGGCTGCCTGTCTGTATCTTTCCACAATGGTTTCCAAAGTAAAGTTGCGAAATAAGCCATTGATGCCACGTTCTCCAAGATCAATATCACGCTGGCAACCCGGACAAGGAAACAGACTCGATCTAGGAGTCAGTGAATTGCGTTTTCTGCCTGTGTAGACACCAAATCCTGATTTAGGAGGAGCATAAACAGAAGAGGTTTAGATTTTAAAGGGAGAAGCACAGGAATTTATCAATCAGTCCCAAACTATTGTAGCACATCGTCCAAACCAGGACAGTATCAATTCGTATGCAGCCTGCTAAGCCAAAGGGAATACATTTGCCATGACAAGGTAGTGTAATGTCTGAGTCCAGGGTACATTACAAACTACTACTCTAAAACTTTATTCTATTTTAAGATGAATTTAGCTGTTCCAATCCTATCTTCTTCATCTAGTTTTCAAATGCACTCAAGCTGCAGCCTTTTGAAGCACTAAACACAAAACTTTCTGGAAACCAGCTGCTTTTAAGCTAACTGGCTGCCCACATAGAGACAGCAACAGCTTTGTAACCTACTGAAGTGAAAGATGCTTATTCCCTAAGTGAGACTAGTTATTCCTAGACAAACATAGCCAACTTCGGGCTCCTTGAAGTTTGCTTTGGCTGAGTCAAGCTTATCTGGCCCATCTCAAGAGGCATCATAGTAAAATAAAGAGGAAATCAAGACAACTAGGTATTACCAGCATGAAATCTCAGCCAAGTCATTTAGTTAAAATATGCTGAGGCTGACTTGGCCCTTGCTGAATGGCCTTGATAAAGGAGGGCTGCTAAGTAAGCCCCATACACTAAAGGGGATGCTGAGGCAGTTATGCCCAATAGATTTTTTTACCCTGAATTGGGGAACAACACACGGGCATGGTTACACAGGGTACGTCTCTCTCTTCATGTCAAAGGGGGACAGCAGAGAAGCTGCACTGCTACCAAACAGCTACGCACAAATTTCCCCTCCTCTCCAAAATAAAAGTGATCAAAGTCTCAAGTAAAGGCACAAGCCTAAGGAGGCTTTGGAGCCTCTTCTCGGGGGTGGCTCACACAGACCCAAAAGCTATTTACAGGGTAACGTGCTTGAGGCTATCAAACAGGGAGTGCACCCCCATGTCTCACTCATGGACCCACAGTGCACAACTATAAAAACAAGTCCTTTATGTATTTCTGAAGCAGGCTAAGCCAGTGCTTAGGCTTAACATGTAACCTCTCAGCTTTCCCTTACGAACAAAAAAAACCCTCTGTAGCTGGAGCATGGTTTTAAGATCTCTTTGAAAGGTCTGCATGTTGGTATAACCAATTTGTAAAAGGAAGTATGGCTTAAAGTTTCTTAGTGTTGAAATTGGTTCTTCTTCAGAAAGGGAAATTTCTTCTCTTCTGTATTTAGTCAGTATCTTCCCATCAGAAATGCTGATGCTTCATTTAATTTTTAAGTGTCCTTTGATGGCATCCGATAGACACTTGCCTTGTGCTGCTCTCCCATGGCTGCTTCACCCAACAATCCAAAACCTCCCTTACTATCATGCCCTTTTCAGTCTCTTTTTTTTTTTTTAAAAAAAAAAAAACACAAACAAACACTCCCATAAGGAATTGGTTCCTCTAAAGATGTTTGAAATGTGCCCCGTGGTAGTTATGCATGACTGTCAGCTAAGAAGCCACAACCAGAGCATGAGTAAGTGTGTACAAGCTGGCAGCCTCAAACTCAACTAGTCTCATGCCCTTCTGGAGGTTCTGAGCTGAACAACTGGACTGCATTTACAGAACAGCATGGGTGACACAACGCACTGGGCATACAACTCTCTGGCTAAGGGAAGCAGAGATTATGTAATTTTTTTTTTTTTTTTCATACTTACTTGAAGTGAATTAATTACCCAGACTGTACGTTCTGCAGTACCTATAACTCGGCATACACAGCAACACACACATGCAATGTACAGCAACAGCAGTGAAACGCAAACTGTATTTCCCATGTATGCTCCAAGCTAGCACTGCACACCGAAACACAGATTTTCTACACAGACTTCTACAATGGCCTAAACAAAAAGATGATTTCGCATGCAGTGCCATGCAATCAACAGCTACAGAAAGGAACCTGGAATACTTACATTCGCTAAAACTAAAAATACAATGATACAGTGTCATACATACAGGGACTGCCTACAAGCAGTATACTATAGCAGAGAGCAAGCAATGACAAGGCAAGGTAACAAATAAAAAAACCCATGGTGCAGTGGTCAAGTTTAAAAATACAATCTGAAATTCGTATCCAGTAGCATGCTTTTGAAGTCTGGCCCAAGTGGCTCAAATGTGGAAGGGGTGTTTGTTTAACTCAAAGGTGAGTTCAGCTGCATCCCAACGGAGGCCTTTCATTCTGCCCGTGGTGGACCAAAACAAGCCCATCACCACGAGCCATGCTCTGCGAAGACTGGTGACACTCTGCTTACAGAAAGTAATCCAGGACCAGGGAAGTCCTGCACATCTTCAGATGTCTCATCCCTTTTCACTGATGGCACTCCAAGAGCCTACGGTTGTTTTTCCCCCTGTTTTAAATCCTGGAAGTTTACTTGATAAGCTTCTTGGTGTGCTCTGCCACTTCAATACTTAAAGTATGGAAACATTCTCTTTTTGCCTAGTGAGTGTTAAAATATCATGCTAAGAACTAGTCTCCTTTCTGCTTATAGGATTTCTACACTTGTATTTTAAAAAGAAAGCACCAATGAAGTGCTAAATTACTTTGAGCACTACCTTTCCTATCTGTCTTGTGTCCAGCTTGCTAAAACGAAATTCTATTTATACACATACACACACACAAAACTCCAAACCCACAAAAAAAAAACAGAGCAGCAAAACTCATGGATTTTGTAGTCATATTAGATGTGTGGTTCTGAGGAACTCAGGTCCTCCCCATATTCTCTTTTACACTTTGCCAATCTGGTTTACAACAAAAAAGTATGTATTTTTTGAAACATTAGGAATCATCACAAGAAACTTTCCGCTGTGGCTTTTAAACAGACTGCTCCACTTGCAATGAATAGCTCAATCAGTAACTAAAAAATTAGCACAACATATCCTCATGCTCAGACTCCAAACTCACAAATATTAGGATACAGATTGCAAAGGCTCAGGTCAAAAAGCAATCTTAAGCATGTCTTTTAAAAACAATGCTTTAATGTCCTCTTGCCAAGGAGAGGTACCAACACTTAAAATGTTGAAAAGCCCAACCTGCAGCTGATGGTTTGCAAAGGGATAAGACATCTTGAAGATAAAATTGTGTTTTCCAAGTACACAGTATCACCAGAATTCTATGGTTATGGAAGACATGAAAGTTAAATGTGTGAGAGTTTAAAAAAAATAAAGATTTTAAAAGTCAACTGGATTCTCGTAGAAGTTTTTAAGACTATATAAATGTGCATTGTCACCCCCCAAACTCATTTAACACTTTTGGATGGATATTTAGGAAGAAAATAAAATAAAAAAAAAAAAAAAAAAAAAAAACATGAGTGAAGTCAGTAGCTGCAAAATGTCTTTTTCAGATACTTTAATCTTCCCCAAATCAAGGCTGCTTTCTGCAAAAATATCAGATAAGAACAGATTTCCAAGAGCTCTGATGGTGTCCTACAGTATCTTTGTTTTACGATACTTTCAGTCTTCAACTGAGGCAATTTAAACTTCCCCTTCCAATCAGCTGCTTTGTCCTCCACTGAGTATGAGATTCAGATTTACGTTTAGTTCAGATCATGTCTTTCCTGAAGGACACAGTATTTCCATGTGCCTGCCAATATCATGGCAACATGGAGTTTTGGGGCTTTTTTTCCTGTTTTTAGCAGAGCAGCACATAAAAAAAAAATAAAAAATTGATGTTAAAAAGCCCACAAAGTGGCTGAGATGCTCAGACTAGCTCAGTTTTGAAAATCAGATGTACTTAAAACAAAGAGACACTGGCTATCAACCTGACCATGTCACTAAGCATGCCAAACATCACAAGTGTGTCAATTTAAAATAGTTTTCCTAACATGCTCATGTGCTGTGTTAAATTGCCAGATCCAGAATTACCTACTGTGGCTAACATGATATAAATTTCAATCTGCTGCTTTATCAAATGAAGCAGGCTCAGACATAGTGAAGAACCAGTATTACCTTCCATTTAAAAGTGATGGCCAACCATGACCTCTCAGTGCTACAAAGATCAACCTAACAATTACACTTCACTATCAGTTAAGACAGTAGTTCTACTGAAACTTGAGCATGTAAACTCTTGAAAATTAAAAAGCATGGAATAGGTGGGTGACTGTTGAGTTTTTGCTTTAAAGGAAGAAAGAACGTGCATTCTTGCACCCATCAATGTATGTTCAACCGTTCACCCACACAAGAAAAAGCATATAGCCCAACCCTTCACCGAATTCCAGTCCAGTTGACCTTTAAGTCAGTGTTAAACAGAATGAAAAGCTTTCCTTATAGAAGTCCTTTGCTGTATCTTTGCTCACTGCAAAAGCCATTTTGTGGACTTGACCACTGACAAAAAGCTATACACTAATCAACAATATTTAACTTGAGATCTAAATGCTAGACTATCTCTAGCCAATACAAGAAGTGAAGCATTTCTACCTCTCCACCCAAAAGACCTCCTCTGTGAGGCTGCGAACAATGAACAGAAAGCTGTTTAGAAATCAAAAAATGAGATATACCATTGGTTTACAATGGTTCAGAAGAAAACCATCATCTATTTTCTCTCCTGTGGCTGTTAAACTAGTGCAGGGCTGAAAGGCAAGAATGTTTAATTTCCTAGCACATGAAACAACTGCCATATTTAAGAAGAGAAAAAGGGAGAAAGAAGAGATTGGAGGGGGAGGGAGAGCAGGGAGAGATATTTCAAACATTCAGTTTCTGCATCATCCCTCAGGCTGTCAACATAACCACATTGCACACTTTAATTGCACCAACATTGTAATTACACTAACATTACAGAAAATGGATTAGCAGTAAGAAATACAATTTCTTTTCATTTTATATGCAACATAATTTTTTAATCAAAAATTATTTTATATATGACATAAACAGTGGGGGCTTTTTAAACCTACACATTAGAATTTAAGACGCACATGCACACCATTTCAACCGAAAAAAATGAAGGGTTCTACCAGTTCCGGCCTTTTTACATTAAGATAAATTGTATCTGTAAATGCAAGCTATGTATGCCCAACAAATACAGAGTGTGGACCAGTTCCTTCTGGCATCTCAAGAATTTAAATGCCAAAATCATTTTAAATAGATGACACTCCTCATGGAGATAGCAGGGATTCCTTAAGTCAAAAAAATGAAAAAGGAGAAACTTACAGCAGGAAGAAGGTGTCTATATTCATTTTCAAATATAACAATACTGTCTTGACAGTGATATACCCTGAACCAGAAACTAGTCCTTTTTTTTATGTATGTGAGGCCCCACTTTGGATGTTTTCTTGTACGCTTTCTCTCTTATGGAGCTGTTCTATTTAAAATTCCCCTAAGGATCACAAAACAAATTAAGCAAGGTGATAAACAGTATGGTTATTTCAGATGCAAGAGGAGAATTGTACAAATGTAAGTTGCAAGCTGGTTGAACATTACTGGCAACAAACGTCTGAAAGCAAATTTCACACCCCACATAGCAATGGAGTGATAATGCCTGTAACATCAGAAGCAAAGACAGTATAACCTGAACGTCCAAACGTATTCTTTAAAGCTCTCATTTCCATATGCTTTTCATTTTGCAAATTTGAACTGAGATGATAATTTGCCTGTGATGTGCATTTGCCCAGTGCTCTTTGGCGGGAGGGGTAGGAAGCCCATTATTTCCAAGTCTCAACCTCTCTTGCTACTCATCAAACAGGTATGCAGCCTTCAGGAAAGCATTCATCTCCCTCTACTAGCAGGTCAGATGAGGAGATAACACACATAACTTCCCATCAGTTTGCTGGGATGATGGTGGACAACTGTGGATTTGAAGATTACAACCCCTGAAACAACTTGCGTGCATATATATCTTGGGGGTTGGGGGGGGCAGGATTACCAAGAACGGGTCTTTCTTGCACTGTCCTTAAGGGCATAATGAAGCAATAACACTAAACCTTGAGAGAAGAGCAGCCAACAACTATGGCAGCACTGCGAAATGAGCTCTGCAAGACTGGAGGGCAGCTCCGGACGGGAGATAAAGGATTACCTCCTCCCTTACGCTGCTGACGGCAGTGGGGGGCTGCTCCCCACCACAAGCAGCCTGCCTGATACTCCCACACCTTGCAAGCCACAGCTCAGGTCGCCCACGGCGTGTCCACCACTACCCAGGCACCCAGCCTGGTGCACTGATGTCGACGTTGTAAAAACACAAAGCGGACAGCTGCCACGGAAAACAGTGACCAGGTTGGTCCATGCATACAAGGCCATGCCAGAAGATTATGTTTACTGAGGAAAAAGGGAATAGGCTTGGATCTGGGAGAAGGCAGCCACACGTGAGCTCTCCTCATTCCAACTTAACGTAACACTGCAGTTAGAGAGGGCTTAGAAAGAGGCTGAAGTGTATGTAGAGCTAAACAGTGACTGTGGGGCTGTGCATCCCAAGTCCAGAAAACTGGGCTGTAACAAGGATAACTAGCCATTTGGTTTGGGGATTCCCTCAAATCATGCAAGCCTCAACCAGCCAAGCTACAGCAAACACAGCATTCACTTATCAAACTGATACGAAAGGGTACCAGTACTAACAACTCAGGAGTTGTTTAAAAGAAGCAGGTGAAATAAAACATTTGAACTTTGAAAACTGGAAAGGATGACCATTACTAACATATCAAATAGCAGATGCAGCTTTAGGGCTTGTCTTGTGGGTGACTCTTTCAGGGCACCATGGAGTGTTGTTTTAAACTGGATAATTATGTTAGAAGGAAGCCTAAAAGCCAAGATGAGGTTTCTGTCAAGAAGTATAGCATGCACAAAGTACTTCTGGTGTATCTGTGCAAAAGCAGATCAATTAATCCGTGAATTACACGGACAGCTGTAAGAATCTTTCTAGTGTGGTATCACAAAGAACATGAGGAGTCCTACAGCTAAGTGCTCCAGAAAGCTTCAAGCAGACCACACTGAAAGAGACTGCTAGCACAGTCTTCTTACAGTCATCTGTCCTCCAATTCTGCAACCACGCAAAGATCGTGCAATGATCATCATCTATGGAAAATGATTTATTGTAAGCACAATGAAAATGGGCATGATAAAACTATCATTTGCAAAGTCTCCAGAGGCTCAGAAGGAAGTAAGAACTACTGACTTAGGCTGGCCGAAACCTGAGAGAACCACCTCAACAGTACTACTGACAGGCAATAAAACCGCTGAAATCTGCATCTCCACGCTACTGAACATGATCCTGTTGTATCTTGATGCAACTGAAATGGTTACAGAGATTTATGGGATGCCATGAAACAAATCAATTATATACAAAATAAAGTGCATGGTCCTTAAAAATATTCCCACTGATCTTGCCACAGAATAAACAAGAATTGCACTATCCCCGACTCGTCTCTTTAACCTTGTCACGAGTACTGGGAAGACATTTTACCAATGCAGATACCATCCAGCTCAAGCCAGTCTAACACATAAAATTAGGAAAACGCGCAAAAATTCTGATACGTACCTGATCTATTAATCCTGTCAATTCTGTCCATGCTAGAAGAAGAGATTTTAATTCGAGGGCTACTCTGATTAGAGGATTCAGAGCCTCCATCAGCAAAAGAGTCTTCAAATGCAAAGAGTATTTCTTTCACGCATTTGTGACAGACACTGTGCTGGCAAGGAAGGATCAGTGGATGGGTGAATAATTCCTTGCATGCCGGGCAGATGAGCTCTCTTTCGATACCCTTAATGGTAGCCTTCATGACAGAAAGAGGGAGAAACAAGTGTAAGCGCAAAAAACCAGCAAGACTTATGGCACAGCTGCGTGTCTGCATGTCACCAAACCCCAGCTCTCTAGAATAATCGTTGCATGCAGTTTTAGATGGTTTTGAAGCACTCCTCTGGTTAACACTGCAAACAAATCTCGATTAACATTTATGAAAGCACCAACAACATTCACTTCAACCGAAACGAACACTGCCACTAGGCAAACTCAGTTCATCTTTAGGTCATGTCTGCATTGCAGGGGAGGAAGGGAGAGGAGGGGAGTAGTCTTAATTCCACTCAAGGACCTAGTGAAATGAAAGCAACCATACTTCTTAACAATAGGTATCCATACGTTTAACTCAGCTGGCTGGCTTGCTTTTGAAGGAAGAGGGGTGGCGGAAAGAGAAAAAAAGAAATTAAGTGTCAGACTGGCTAAATATCAGGCTTTCCTGCCACGTAATTGACATTTAAGGACTGAAACTGCCTTGACTTCATCAGGCTACCAGAACACTATCTGGTTTTTTATTTATTTCTGTATTTGGCGCACAAAGAGAGCAGCCCGTGGATCAATGCAGCTCTTCAGTAATTCAATGACCCCGCAGCCATCTGGCACCGGCGCTCCGAGGCGGGAGGATCTGCCGGCACCGCCGACGGCAAGCCCGGCCCCGGCGAAGCATCAAGTGGCGGGCGCCGGCACCGGCTGCAACAGCGCCCGCTGCTCCCCCCGGGCTCCCCACCACGAAACCGGGCCGCTTTCGTCGAGGAGCGGCCGGGAGCGGCTCCCCTGCGCGCGCCCACCCCCTCCCGAGGGTCTCCGTGCGAGCCCCGCACGCCGCCCCAGCACGGCGGGGCCGCGGCCGGTGCCGCTCCGGGCCGGGCAGGGGCGAGGCTGCCGCCGCACACCGAGGGTGGGGGGAGCGAGCACCCCCCTCCCGGCCCACCGCGCCCCGCGCAGCGCAAGGCGCAACACCGGAGGGGACGACAAACCCCGGCCCGCTTCCCCCCCCCCCCCCCCCTCTCCCCGCGCTCACCGGGCTCTCCAGCCGATCGCCCTCCATCCCCGCGCCTCCTCCGCCCGCCGGCTCCGCGGCGGCCAGCCCGGCGGGGGCGGGGGGGGGGGTTGGAGGCCGGGGGGTGCGGTCAGGCCGGGCGGCAGGCGGCCCGCCGGTGGGCGGGGGGGAGTGGGGGGGGGGGGGGGGGCGGGAAGGTGGCCCGTGCCGCCCGCCGGGCGGGGCCAGAGCACAATGGCGAGCGCGCGCGGCAAACCGGGCACCGGCGGCGCGAGGCGGGGCGGGGCGGGCACGCCCGCAGCGGCAGCCGCGCCGCCAGGGGGCGCCAGGGGGCGGCGACGCTCCGGGGCGGGGCGGGCCTCGCCGGTGCGCGGGGGACACGGGCTCTTCTGAATTATTTTTTTTTTTGGTTGGTTGGTTGGTTTTTTTTTTTTTTTTTTTTTTTTTTTTTTTTTTTTCTTCTTTTCTTCTTTTTTATCTTTTTTTTGTCCCTCTGTCGCCCATCCCAGCGGCGGGGGGGGTGGGGGTGTGTATTTCGTACTTTCCCGCTCAGCACCCCGCCAGTGACGACCTCCCGTGGTAAGTGACGCCACGCAGGCGTGTCTGTCTCCGTCCCTGGGGACAGTAACGCCGCCGTTCGCTGGGCGCGGGAGGGCCAGCCGGGCTGGGACATTTTAAGGGCGCAGTAGGCACGCAGCAGGTGGCTTCCGTGGCAGCGGGGACGAAGGAGAGGTGGGGGAGTTGTTCTGCTCGTCTGCACCTCCTACCCGCCCCTTACAGCACGTTTTCATTGGAAAAGGTGCAGCAAATTCCCTTTTCACCACCAGCCAGAAAGAACAAAAACCCTTCTAAATCTCCAGCTTCCTCGGGTTTTGGCAAGGGTGCAGATGCAACCATTGCAGACTCAATGCCGCCTGTAGTTAACATAGCATTAGGCTAAGGGAGAAAAATCACTAGTTAGGAAAGTCAGGAGTGAAAGCATACAGTGTCCTTACGTTACAGAACGGAAGGAGGTTTGGTTAATTAGAAGGAGCCTGGACTACGTGACTGATGAAATGGTGTCAGTTTGGCAAACCCTAAATTTGACCTACTTGCCTATTTAAAAGACTAACATCAGGATACGAGGTTCATTTTTTCCCCTCAGAATTACCATTCATATGAGTCAATAAAACAAACATGCTTGAAATGACTTATTTGGGTTTTGGTCACTATTTATACCTGGGCTTCAGTGGCCTGGACATGAACCTTGAAAGGAAAATTACACTCAGAAATCATGAAGACAGAGGTGATGGTTTTCCATTTCTAGCACTACAGAGAACTTAGTAGCGAACACATGTAAAGATGTTATTTCACATTTACTTTAGAAACTACCCTCATAAAAATACAGAGTACTGTGCTAGAAATTATTCTGATAACGCCAGTAATGCACAGTATTTATATTCAAACTGAAAGATGTCACTAAACCGAGCAGGGGCGGAGAACGGGTTGGGAAGGACATGAGTTGTCAGCCTCCCGACTACATTTTGAGTAATGATTTGCAAGCATCTGAATAACCATGTTAGCCCTTAACCACCTCTACCATCCCCAAATTTCCTGATGTTACAGGCAGACTTTAGAGGTTGTAGCTCTTAATAAGCCCTTGCCTACCTCAGCATGCTACTCAGCACTGATGCTGGATGTGGTTGATTGGGGGCCTATCAGCTGCAGACCAGAACAAAGTCCCTTCGGCCCTGCTGTCGCCTGTTAAACAGTATTAAAAAATTTTGTCTTTGGCAGCATGGCAAGGGAAACCGTTCCACACCTCATGCCAGAGGTGTAGGTGCCAGCAGAGGTGGGTGTTGCCACCGTGGACAGACCTGGAGCATGCATTTTCCTCCTGCCCTCCCACAGCCTTCAGATGGACCAGTGACACAGTTACCACCAGTACTTGTCAGTGACTACTCAATCCCTTAATAGGTCATTAAGGTATTATTAGCCTGTTTGTGTGCCTGTTTTCTCCTGCTTCAGGGTACTTGGGACCGGGGGATTTTAATTAACACCTCCTCCTCCATCACATTAAGATACTACATGGACGAAAAGGTCGTCCTCGAAGGCCTCCAAAGGGCAAAACTTCCCCTGCTGCACTCACACCTTTATACCAGCTTTTGGATCCTTCCCCAGCCTAGGGCTAATGCATTCGCAGTGTCAAAATTCGCATTAGCTCTAAGGTACTGTGAGGAAAAAAACATCAGTTAAGAGTCAGTGGTACATTAAAAAGGTAAGCTCGCAAACCGCTGCCAGAAGACACTCCTGTTGTTAGCCTCTGCAGAAGCGGTTAGTAAGACCAGCATGGCCACAGCAGTCAGACCTACCCTTCTGCTTTGCTTCCAGCCACATGCGAGCATCAACTGGACACCTGCTCTGCTAACGAAGGACTCCTTTGTAATACCTGGAAAGTGGCAAGATAGTTCAACGCACTCTTCCTAACTTGCTCCTGCCCCTTCAGCAGGCAGGGTCTGACCAGGCATTGCTGGCATTCCTTGCATTCCCAAAACATCATCACAAGACAGAAACTGGAGTGGGCGGGGGCTGTCATCTTGTCTTCCCTTCTAGCTCAGGTTAAATGTGCTTATTAATTTAACCATTGGTCCGCAGCAGTCTCCCAAGCGCTCATTTGCATTAATGATCAGTATAATTCAAAGAAGGATGTAGCACTGGTTTTCAACAATAAAAATCCTATGCTTGTTGTGCGGTTGGGGTCCTACTGCATGAAGCAACACAGCCCTGCCCCAAAGCGCCTGAGAAGGTCAGGCAACCTTTCGGTTGTCGTGTCCTCAGACCAAAGCTTTCCAAGACATCTTTTTTCATGCTGCTCTTGCAACCATGGCTCGAGCCTGAGCCATTTCCCTGCTAGGCTGCATTCCTCTGGCTGAACTGCTGCTACCTGCCTTGCACGATGCTTGCATCAGAGCAGATCCAATGTGCCCACAGCGCAGATACACAGGATGAAGACAGATTTGTTCCTGAGCTAATGTGACTTGTCTTGGGGACCAAGCTACCAAGGAGGCACTTTTCTCCCTGCACAGTGGAAGTATTTTCTGCCAGGATGGATGCAGTGGGGTTTTAGCCTGCATCCTACTCTCTGTAAATTGTCAGTGATGTGATTTGCTTTTCTACTAAGCCATGAAGAAATAAACTTTGAAGATGGCTGTTTTCCCCAGGATCTTCTCAGTCATGCAGGTTGAAAGATATACTGTTCGCTCAGCAATAAGGCAGGAATTTATGCTGCCTGAGAGAAGTGTGCCTGTGTTGGCTCAGGAATACAGGCTCATCTTTGGATACCCTTCAATTGCGTCACCTTGAAAAGCCAGCAAGGGCCTACAGACCTTGGGTGTTTCAAAATGAAAATAATGATGACTTGAGGACCTCTTGTCATAAAACAAAAATATCAAGCCCTAATCCTTTGATTCTGGTGATCTGCTCTGCAGAGATGTGCTACAAGCCCATAACCCTCATGGTCGGACAGTTTCCTAACAGATCCCATAGATTGATCAGATGGACTGAACAAGTTTGGAAGGTCACGAGCCACTGCTGTGCACAGAGCACTGAGCCAATAACAATCATGCTCACTGAACTGCCAGAATATTGGGACTGCAGTCAGCTTTGGGCAGGATTTGTAGCTAGCACATCTCAAAGTGTGCTAAATTGGCTCAGTGTATCTCTACTTTTTCACTTACTGCCACATGTACAGGACTCCACTTCATGTCCAGGACACATGGAAAGCAGCAGTTGCAAGAGATTCAAAGAGCAGTTACAGACAACAGGTCTACACCAAGGACTGTGCTGTTTCCCTCCACACAGTGTAATCACTTGCCAAGCAAATTAAAGAATTATAATGAAAAAGCTTCCCAAAAATACATGACATTCAAATCAGAGTGCCCTCCAGCTCTGAACTAGGAAAGAATCATGCCTGTAAACAAATTATTACAGTTTAGCAGCAAGGAAATGTAATGGTTATTTTTATAAGGATTTGGAATATGAAAGGTTTAAATTTTTAAAAAATGAATTTACAAGAAGCCCAGCCACAGTCTCAGGTTCTGACACCATAAAGATACAGGACAAAAAAATATGAACTATACACACATAGCACATGAGGAATTGCTATTCTGTCCTGCTGCCTTCTGTCCTTCAGACTGTAGCTACTCCTATCACAAGGGGCAAGGCTGGCAGCTTGCCCTTGCCATGTCACATCCCATGTTCCTGTAGGCACTTCAGAGAACCCACTGCTGGAGCCATGAGGACATGTCTAATCTGTGGAGACACACCTTTGTCACACAGGTTGATTTACCCAGCTAAATAACTCAGATTAAATGCTGTCAAAACATGCAAATTGCATTTTAACTCTTCTTAGCTGTTAGTCTTCAAACTTGGACTCTTCTGCAGTATCTAACTTAAGCCATTACCTGAAATTGAACTCCAAAATATCTTTACATGCTTTTTTAACCTGTCACCTTTTTACGCAAATACTCCTCACAATATAGATGTAATCAGGCACACTTCCAGATACTCTGTAAATGGAAGAAAATTGCTGTTAAAGGTCTATTCTCCTCATGTGAATGCAAACCCCAAACAAGTGCTTTCCTAGGCATAAGCAAGAAATATGTAAAGCCTCATCTTCCAAAAGATGAGCAAAACTCCAGTTCAGGTGAGCTGGGCAGCCCAGAGCAACCCGCCAGCCCCCACAGCTGCTAGTAAACTTTGCTGTATTTCCTTTCTCCAGTTCCTTATGTGATTCGTTTTTTATACCCCTCTGTACCTCTATCCCTTACTCTCACCTGGAGAAAAGTTGAAATGCTACCACGAGAGACTATATGAAACTCATAAAGTGACTCGCTACCACGAGTCACTATATGAAAAACAGGCAGGAGTGAAAGACAGGAATAATTGTCACTTGCAGGGCCCAGGTGGAGAGCATGCAGAATTTTAAATACTCTTAAAATTATTTGTATATATTTCCCATGTTCACATCATAGCAGTTTTATGGCTTGTTTTTGGCAGTATCTGTTTCTCCAAATGCTTTTTCTGGAGAAATGTTTTTAAAGCTGTTCTTTATGGATCACAAGCTGTCAGTTTCTGCAAACCATGCAGATGGTAGGAATAGACGGTAAAACAAAGGAAACAAGTGAGGGGAAAAAAACGAGGAGAGGGGTTCGATTAAAAAATGGAGCATGTCAAGATCTTTATTTCAATGAAATCAACAGTGAGTGCACAAGGACAGTGTCAGTGTTGCTGGCCTCTCTCTGAAATTCACATTGGATTATATTGGTTCATTGATTGTATTCCACTTACAGGAAAATGCCCAAAAATGGTTCTACAAAACGTATGAGAAGTATTGGTATCAGTTACCCCATCAGACACAAATATTTCTTTACAGCATCTAAAAATTCTTTTTTATTTATTAATAGAAGAAAAGCAGATTCATTCCATTGATGAAAACATGTACCTATGCAATTAAACCAATTTTGAACAGAGTGAGGATGAATAATTGTAGGGGTGTTCATGTATTTGGCTACTGCAGAAGGAAACTTATAGACAGTGAAGAAGAGAGAGGAAAAAAAAAGCCTGAAACCATTTCTGGAATATTATGTCACCCTGAGACAGTTGAGGGTCTGTCCTTGCTGTAGTTTGAACTGGGATTTGAGAGTCCTGGAAGAAGGTCATACAATCTCCTTATGCTTCAGTGCCTCTGCTACAAAATGTAGTTAATTGTTAATCTATCTCACTGGGGTATTTTGGAGTGCTGCTGTGACATTTGTGACAGGTGCCTTGGAGGCCCAGATATCTTCCACAGTACTGTAGTGAGCCTAAACAGATGTTGTGGATATATGGATTACACAAGAACTGTCTTACTGGGGCTAAAAGGGTTACATGGATCTTTCTGCTTCAGGTACCATGTGCAAGTTGTGTGTGTGAAACAGAGTCACCAGGGAATAATTAGTACAGATTATTAAAAGAGAGAACAGGTTTTTGAAGCTACAGTCCCCCATGGAAAAGCAATATATAATGATTTGCCCTGTCTGAGAGGCCTGACAGAGGCTGCAGGCTAAGTGGAAAACCAGCACGAGTGCTGGAAGAGATCATGTGCCCGGGGTCTATGAGCTGATGTACTGTGCTTGTTGGGACCCTACACAGCGAGAGGTGAGTGTGCGAGTGTAAAGTGTTATTATTATGTCCCGTTTCTCCAGTAGTTCTTTGTTCAGTGAGAGCCAGATGCAGTTAATTCAGATCATGTTAGTGCTCTCAGGCTTGATGCAAAAGCTTTACTGATGTGGGAGAACGGGAAAGGGAAAACTGGAGTGTTGAGACCTCTACGCAGTAATACCCTGCTCCTAAGCAAATACCGTTTACTCTGCAGAAGAGTCCTTTTGCTGGCATGATTTATGTCACTTGAGAAAGCAGTTTAATTATCCCAGCAGAATACCTCCAAGCTGCTGGATAACATCAATAAATTACAAAGGGGCTGTAATCTTAAACCCTGGTCCTGAGGTGAAGAAATGCAAAAGGAAAACATGGAGAGCCAGAGGTCTCAGCCCTGGCCCTTGGAGAGCCTCAAGCAGTAACCACCACTATGGAAAGTCTGTGAAGGTCACACAAGTGCTACTGCTCCTCTTCAGGTACATCAAGTGCCTCTGAGGACGGGACTTGGCAATGTGATGCTCTATGTATAAACAACAGCACTGTTTGCAATAAACATGCATATTTCACACTACTGTGCTAACTCGGCTGTCTGCCGAACCATATGCTCTTGCAGAGGGCATCTGACTCGAGATACCAGCACAGACTGTTTAACTGTGAGAGAAGGGGCAGACGTAGCAACCCCTTACAGGGAAATCACAGGCAAAAGGAGTTTCTTGCCTGAAACCCTTTATGATTTTGTGTATTGCATAATATGGAGAGGAACAAGACTTGGCCATCTGAATTTTCTGTTGGAGCCCGAGGCATAATTGCTGCTGGCCAAGGAGAAGCAGAAAACCACCCAGGGAACTTCTCCCTCACCCGTTCTAAAGGTTCATCCACGACTTTTCGAAGGAGTGGGAAAGAGGGAGGGGAAGGAACGGTGGGCACAAAAAATGGGGTGTGAAGGCAGTCTCTGGAGATGAGCTGGAAGATCTTCAAGATGCATTTGGCATAAACAATCTTTCCTATAACACCACTGCTTGCCACACTTATTTTTTATTTTAAAACTTCCCTGACTACTTCAATTTTTCTAAACCCAGAGTCTTCAGGGGAAGGGCTGAAGTGCTCACTGTTTTTTATGTGTATCAGCAGCTCACAGATACAAGGAGCTGGATTCCCCCCTTCTTTTTGTACGAAACCCACACGCTACTTTCCCTCAGAATACCTGCAAACTCTGCACCATTTCCCGGGGGCGACACACTCCAGCGCTGCCCGCAGCCAGTCCAGCTGCAGGTATCCCGAAAAAGCCCCCGGCCAGAGGCCGGCGTGGGCGCAGCCCCCCTCAGCGCCCCACGCCCACGGAGGAGCAGGACAAGCCGCCGCAGAGCCGGGGGCCGCAGGCACGCCAGGCGCCTAACGGTGCCGCGCGGCGTGGCACTTCGCGTTTCGCTTGGGAACTTTTCCACCCCGCGGCCTCGGAAGCGTGCGGCAAGCATCAGGCGAGCCCCCGAAGCACGGCTGCTCTAAAGACGGGCCAAGTTCCACACACACACACACACACACACACAC